TCTAAGCTATTACAAAAAGAAGGATATTTATACAATGAGCACAACTGCCCCACTTCCTGGCAACGCCCACTTAATTTCTGTTGTAGATATGACATGAACTATTTCCATTATATCTAGTTGCCTGCTCCACCTCTCCCATTACAGCAGCTGGTGTGGAAGTGTGAGAGATATAACCATACCCAGGGAAGTCAAGGCCTTGTATGCGTTTAATATTAACATTTCCACCATACTGTATTTGGTCTAGTCGAAAAATGTGGAGTCCCCAATTTATTAATTACTAGCTTATAGGGGAAAACATCTACTGGACAAGCCATATTTTGAGGACAATGATTATGAAAATTGAGGTATTTATAATCCTTCCCATAATCACACAGCAAGATAATGTTGTACTGAATTATTTAACATTGATGTTGGTAACATTCTGATCAGCTGTTTACCACTTCTTCCAAAACTACAACACAGTGTTAGTTTCTTCATAACACTTTTGAAATTTAAAGAACACAGAAATCTAATAAAACTTATGTCAACTTTAGTTTGAAGTATTTCTTAAATTTTAAAACTGTTCAGGGAAGCATTTGCTTCAGTGATGCACCAACAAGTGCAGAAATTATCACCTTGGAAGATATTCATATCTATTAATTTGCTAACATTAGTTACGAGATAATTCCACAATTGGACAAACATGAATCACACTGAAAACTGACATAAAGCAATTTGTAAAAACAAAAATAGCATTGAGTAATTAACATACAGAATTAAAGAAGTTATTCTTTGAATCACACTATATGATCTGCAAAATGTTATACAAAAAGTGCCCAGCCCTGCACTAGTTACTATACTACTAAAATGACTACTTACTCATAGCAGAGAATGTTGGGGCAAAATAAAAATGACAAAATAAATAAGCCTGTCCTTTGACTGGGGTTGTGGAAGATGAATTCATGAAACTGGTTACAAGTAAAGAGGCATAACATTAACATAATATAGAACCCCAATACAGGACATTTCTGATAAGTAGATTGTACAATTTTTACTTCAAAATTGCATGAATTACTCTTAAAAAAAATAGTAACAGCATACTAAAATGGCAACTTGTTATTTTAAATTAACAACATAACAAGAACTTGCAGAGTATATAAATGGCTAGTAAAATTTTAAATGAACTGAGCACTTTATTTAATAAAAAAAAGTAAAATACAAAGTAATTCTCAAAAGAGAGCATATAAATAAAAATCACGAACAATCTGCATGTTCATGCTCTCTGCTGCTGTGATGTGGAACACACTCAACATACAAAGGCAACTTTTTACTAAATTATTCTCAAGTTTCACTTTTATTACACTTTGACATTAGTTCATTCTCTGTTTATACAGTAATGATGAATAACAGCATGCTGATTTTCCATAAATATTATTCCTTTGCAATAAAGTTCTTGAAATATACAATGCAGCAAAATCTAGTATTGTGCTGTACTGACAAAATAAAATATATTTCTTGTTTGAGTGCTGTCAATAATTCTGGTTAATTATAATTTAAGAAAATTACACAATCTCAACTAAATGTTATTAAGATTATTGTGATAATTTCTGTTCATCTCTTGGGTACAAAAAAATGTCCATCGACCAAGTCTGAAACTATAAAATTTTGGTAACACCTTCGATATGGAACAGTTATAAAAACTGTGCACATACATAACAGAAGATATGTGGAACATGAGAGTAGCTGAAGCTTTCACAACAGCATGTGTTCTGTACTGTTCTCTCAAAGGCATTCAAAAATTACTATAATTTATATTCAAGGTTAAACCAAAGTATACTTTGCATATAAAAAGGTAAAAAAATAATGTTTACTGATTTAGACCTTGACGTTGTCAATAACTCATACAGCACTACATTCTTTGTGGATGATGAATGCAATTCATGTTGAGTATGGCACCTGAGGGAGTCCAAGCCACAAACTAGATAGATGCCTCTTCTCCCTATCTAGTGAACAACTATCTTTGCCGACGCATATCTGGATGACACACAAGAAATATCTATTTAGCAACAACTTATATAGCAAATGGAAGCCTCAATTATTTGTCTTCATCTCCAGCCTAGATACTGTGTCAGTGCCTGGAGCTGCATTCACAAGAGTTGGAATTAAGTTACCAATACAAAGTTAACTTGTGCAAGAAATATTAGAAACCTTTGTGTATTTCTACTATTTCTTAAACGTCTTATACTGTATAGTCAAAGACTGTGTTAAAAATGTAAGGAAAGTAATATTTTCATGTCAATCAGCACCGAAGGTTGAGAAAAATTTGAAAAATGGCAAATAATGGTAAATCTTATCTCAGTTCTCATTGAGCTCACTAAAATGTCAGAGGAAAGAAATTTATTTACAAGAGCAATAAGCACAAAGATACATCATAACTGAGGCTTCCATACAATACTAAGAATATTTGACAACCTAGCTTAGACAATAACTGATCTAGTGACTAAACACTTGCATTATTTGGATAACTATCACAAGGCCAACACCTCGGGCTACTTTTATGCAGCTCTCATTAATTAATGTCAATAGTTCTCTCTTTCTCTACCCCAAAAGGAGCTTTTATTTTTCTGGACCAATAAGTTTATTCTGTACATCTAAATATATATAATTATTTTGTTGAACATTGAGAAATTAACCACATTTCAGGCACAAAATTATTTATCTTAAAACTTCTTAACTTACCGTCATTGAAGCATAACATTCAACTTACATAGTTTCTCACTAAATAAGGTGGCATGCCCTTTGTAGCAGATCTGGGTAAGCTTGTCTAAGAAATCTGGATGACACGAAACCCATTCCATTAATGCTATGGTAAGCTATAAGTGAAAGCATCAAGACTCGAGTCTGTCTATCTTTATAATTTTTTACAATCTCTATTTCCGATATTCAAAGCAGAATGATTCTCTAGCTTCTGAAGAGAAGAAGCAAATCCAATATACTTCCCTAAAATGCCAGCACCTATCTACACCATTTCCAAAACAATGAGATGAGTTAGAATTTGTTAGCCCAGGTGGAATCAACCAAACAGTAGCAAGTTGAAAGAATATCATAGATTTCACAGTACAAGATATATCACATTCTTTTCATGGTTTGTGCTTAGGGGATACAAATACAATATTAAGAAAAATGTTTTTGTTGACCTGTAATAAAGTAGTGGAGAGAATGAGTGGTTGGTTAATAGAAAAGTATGTAGCATTATGGATATGTTAAAAGTAGTACATAATAAACAAAAGTGCAGTATATGAAGACCCAGCTGCAAAGATGTAGGAGTTATTACAGGAGATGAAGAGAACAGTTGTGGTGCTGTATGTGCATGGTGAGGGTTTGGGATAAGCCACGCCCCGTGGAAGATCACAATCCACAATTAACATTAACATCAATCAAATGTCGCCTTAAATTTTCAACCAACTGGCATGAGACCTATGTCCATCAGTGACACCTCAGATGTATCTCTCAGTGACACCTCAGATGTATCTCTCAGTGACACCTCAGATGTATCTATCAGTGACACCCGAGACATACCCCATTAGTGACACCCGAGATGTACCCCATTAGTGACACCCAAGACATACCCATCAGTGACACCTGAGATAAAGGGTCCTGGTAGTACAGTCGGGTTCGTTCTCGACACATAATCGAGAATTCCGGGTGAGAATCCCGGGCAGGACAGAAAAGGTTAGCACTTTTCCTTTCACCCAATGCCTCTGTTCACTAGCAGTAAGTAGGTACTCAGGAGTTAGTCAGCTTGTTGTGGGATTGCATCCTGGGCGGGGTCAGTAATTCGGCCTTGGGGGGGGGGGGTACCTCGATAAAAGCCTAATGTGTATGAATACACTCTGGCTTCCTGTCCCCTGACACACTGAATTATAATTATATACCCATCAGTGACACATGAAATATACCCATCAGTGTCTCAACTAAGATATATCAATCACTGGCACCTGAGGTACACCCAATCAATCACTAGCACCTGAGGTACACCCAATCACTGGCACCTGAGGTGCACCCAATCACTGGCACCTGAGGTGCACCCAATCAATCACTGGCACCTGAGGTACACCCAATCAATCACTAGCACCTGAGGTACACCCAATCAATCACTGGCACCTGAGGTGCACCCAATCACTGGCATCTGAGGTACACCCAATCAATCACTGGCACCTGAGGTACACCCAATCAATCACTGGCACCTGAGGTACACCCAATCACTGGCATCTGAGGTACACCCAATCAATCACTGACACCTGAGGTACACCCAATCAATAACAAACAACTGAGACACCCCCTCCCCCTCCCAATCAGCATAAGCTGTTTATTACAAGTAACTTCAAAAGATTTGCACAAATTCAAACACCAATGAGGATCAACTCTAATAAAATTAAAATTAGCCTATTAGCACAAAATCTAACCCATCATTAATTAGACAAACTGTAGATGATCTAGTCAAAACTATATCATATGAAAGATCTCTTGTTAATCAGGGCCAGATTCATGAAGCAGTTACACAAGCACTAACGAACCTGTACATATTTTCTCAATCTTTGGCAGCTTTGTTTGCAATTATTAAACAGTTAATAAACTCCAAAGCACCAGGAGACTGTTTGTAACAATAACAACAGTTGATTGGGAAGTTTTCATGCTTGTAAACTGTTTAATAAATGTAATCAAACCTGTCAAAGATTGAGGAAAGATGTACACATTTGTAAGTACTTGCATAACTGCTTTGTGAATCTAGTCCCCAGCACTTTGACAATCTCACCTGGATGACAAATAGATGTGGCAGAAAATCTACTCCCAGCTCCTAACTGACTGATACAGTCAAGAAAATTTGGCTGCCTGATATCAGTCTGCCTCAGATTATATTAATACATCTACTAATATATTGTTGCGTACCAGTAACTACATGCACACGTAGGTACCGCTGTAACTCCTCACACACAACCATCTTATAATACAACTCTCCAAAACTACATGCTATACATAACAAAACAAAGTTCAACTGTGTCTTGGGTGTAAAATAATGTGGTCCACAAGTATTGTAGCACAAGACTTCACAGCTACAGCTGGCCAGGTTCACTCACTCACTCTCATATTTCCATATCTGAAATTTTATCAGGAATATCATAGTACAGTACATAAACTAACACAATGTTTACTCTTAATTTTCTTCTGCAATTCACCGAGGCCTGAGATAATACAATTAGGCATATTTAAATAAACCTACTGAAGTGCTATAGAACTTTGACAAGTTTTGCTTTATTCAAAGTATTTAAAGTACTGAAAATCTATTTACAATATTTTTCTCAACATCTTCCATTCCTGGGCAGAAAAATCATGAGCAAAGAACTTGTACATTAACAGCATTTTATCAATTCCCAGTTTGTGAACCATTCACTTGTACCTACGGGGTAGCATCATTATTTTCTGTTTAAATACCTCTGGGTCCATATTCCTCAAACTTGCTCAATATCTCTTGTTACAACTTTCCTGCATTTATTCCTTCACTTCCCATTCCATGACGTTAGTTGCTCATCGATCAATCTAACCTCTTGTACTTTATTTATATTTAGTATTCTTCTTGCAATCATCTCTCTCTATATGCCTAAACTTTTTTTGGTTGCAATATGAAACTGGAATGTGCTTCCATTTTATTACAAAATGTGAGATGCATTTCAAATATATTACTGACTATTGTTTTTAAACCTAACAATGTATAGGTATAGTTACTTCATTCTTGGTTTAATTCAAAATATTTTCAATACAAGCACCTGCAGCATCTGTAAAGAAAATTAGGTATTTTACTTGACATGAAATTCAATGCATTTGAGGTACAGTATATTGAAATTATTGCTTACTAGTTTTACCAGGTGAGGAAGCATTAATACATAATTAACCGACATTGTCATCTACACTTATACAGTATTCCATTTGTTTATTCATATTACAGTATTAATATATCATACATAAACTAATAATTGCTATAATTGTGCTTCATTAATTTTTAATTTAAGAAAACACTTCTGTATACACCACGAGTGACACAAAAGGAAGGCCTCATGGAAACCAAACCCCCAAAAGCCAGAAAAGGAAAGTGGTGATGGGCAAATGTAGATCACAAGGAGTGGTCCTGGTGGAACTGGAGGAACCAGAGCAGAACCTAGAGCCAAACTCTGACCAGGATAAATACCAGGCAAAGTTCAGGCTCCTGCACAACTGTTCGACCAACACCAGACAAAGCTGACACTGCTGGGAGAGAGCAAAAAAAAGCAGCAGAAGGCAGGGAAGGGGAAGCTAACCAGGAATCCCAAACCAGGCCCAACCAAGACTAAACCTGGAACAGAACCAACTGGGACTTCCTTCAGTTCACCCAAAACCCAAACTCAAACCCCAAGCTGGAAAAGAACCAGACCCCAGCTTGCAGATACAAGGGTTGGCTGAGAGCCCCAATCTGTCAGCTACTGAGATAGGACAAAAAATGAACCCTCACAATGTAGTTACCTCACAAAATACTCGCACTAATCTGGTTAATACCGAGAAGCCAGACTTATGCCAAAAGAAAGAACCTTAAAACAGTAACCCAGATACCCAACAACAAATTCTAATCAATACCTGAATTTCAGATGAAGAAGGACATACCCATATGACATAGAAACCCCCGTGTGGTAGGAAGCATTCTATGTCTGCCATCGACCGGGTCAAGCATCCAGAAAGGTAAGCATTCCAAAACAAACCCCTATTCTGGTGAAAATTGCTACCTAAAGCCGAACTAGTGGATAGAACTCTTCAACAGAAAACAAGGAAACTAGTATGACGTCATACGTCACCGTGCCGCTGTCTGCGCAGCTCCCCCCTCCCCGGGAGGGGGAAGGGGGAGCCCCAGACCTCCCAAGCCGGCTATCCACCCATCAGTTCTGAGGCTGGATGTCAAAACATGCGATAAACCGCCGACCGGAGGGAGGGAGGGTTGCCGGGGAGCTTCCGGGTCTCACCCAGAAAATGGCGTTTCATTACATTCAACGCTGGTTTTCTGGGGGGAGCCCCGTCGGCTACCCGGAGCTAACTACCCACAAAGGAAGGTCAAAGGGACAGAACCAGGAGGCGGGCACCACGCACCCCCCACGGAAGCGAGACAACCGGCAACAAACGCCAACCCAAGGCGCCACAGCCCCGAAAAGTCCCGAGAACAACACGAGAACAACGAGCAGCAAGACCCCCGCACGAACACCAAAAATCCATGCCCGAAAGACCGCAAGGCCACGTCGCCCAGACAGCAGCGAGAGCAGCGAAGCCACGAACGCCACAGGCATGAGGGAAGAACACAGGCAGCTTAGCCGCAAGAACAAGGCTGACCACCCGGGACACCATCACCCGCGAACTGGGAAGAACAGAACCGGATCAACGTAAAACAAGCTCCGGACCCAAACGTCGTGGCACGCAAACAACAGCGGAGGGCCGCTGCTGAACACAAAACACGACACCCCCCGGCCCGACCGACGAAGCACCAACAAACCCTGGACCCCTCCAGAATGCAGCAGCCCCACCCCACGCCAGAAAAGATGGAGACTGCTGCCACCGCTAAAACCAAAGGAGCAAGAAAACTCAGCGACTCGACCCCCAGAGGCAAAGGCCAAAAGGAAAGAGCCGACGAAAAAACACACTGGAACCGAAGGGGCACTACCAACCGAGGAGAAGACAGAGCACGCTGACCAAAGACCAGGATGGTGCAAGCGGCGCACGAACAGGCCGGAGGTGAAACGATGCACAAGACAGCTTACTAACGGTGCAGAAGCAACACCAAGACCGAAAGCAAGCTGAAGCGGCTCAGCCAGCGCCGCACGAAAAGAGGCGACAGTATGTGGCAAGACGACTGCCCCCAACCCCCACCAGAAAACCAAGCCGAGAGTAAACCAAGCTAACAAGAGTAACCACCTAAGAAGGGACAGGAAAAGGAAGGACCGCCAAAATACCCCATACTGCCACCAAGAGAAGCACGCAGATGGGACACCTACCACGAAGCCACCCGACCACTAACCAGAGGCGAGACCGCGAGGCAGAACATAAGCAGCCCCGTAAAGGCCCCTCCGAGCCCAGGAAAAGGCGGAGCCGCGGGAAGATCTCGGGCGCGACCACCGAAACCCAGGCGGCACAAGGAGATGGAACGTCTGCCGAACAGAAAAACTCCCCAAAGCATGCAAGCCCGCCAGGAGTTCAGAAACGACGGGTCCGATGCAAGACATCGCAAGACCCCCCAAAAAAAAAAACGGCAGGGCAAGCTAGGAAACCAAAGAAGGCGGAAGGGTCGCCGCTAGAACAGTACCCGAACCAAGGGGTACGAACAACTGCAATAGACCAAGACAAAGAAGCACATCACAGGACACAGGCTGAAAAACGCCCAAGAACACACACAGAATACCCCTGCTGCAGAGGAGGCAGGAAGAAAGAGCAGAAGCACAAAAACCCCAGGAAAACAACCAGGGGTGGACAATCAGGCAGGGACAGAAAACCCCCACGCAATCCCCAGGCACAAAACAGCAGCAAAGTGCCACACCACAACCGGACACAGGAACAAGGACACGCCACCGTGAAACACGGTACCAATGCACACGTGCAGCAGCAGCAGCAACAGGCACCACCGCACATGCAACATGTAAATAGCAACTCCCTTCTGCAAAGGCAGAGAAATGGAGCAGGCAGACCCCAGACAGGGCCAACGGAGACACGACAAAACCCAGCAGGCCCAGAAACCTGCACCAGGCGACCGACGGCGGAGAAAACCCCGCTCGATACCTGCTGGATGGGGTACTGGGAGCTCTTTTACAAGCCCGGCATAAGGCCAGGCTAGACCGGCCAGAGGGTGGCCCACCAGGCAGCTGCTAGGAGCGGCCCGCCGGCCCACATACCCCCACAACCAGGATGGGCCGGAACTGCTATACGAAAACAGGCTAGTGTGCCCTGGAAGTCCACAGATGAACCAGCAAGAAGGCTTATGCTCGCAAGTAGGTCGTGTAACAAGCACAGACCTCTAATGGTAATACAGTGTTCCCCAATTGTGCTAATAGCACCACTGCACTCCACTGGTACTATCCCGCAAGTTCTACCAGATAGGCAGGACCCAAGAGCCAGAGCTCAAACCGTGCAAGCACAGCCAGGAGCCTTACCAGGTGAGTACAGAACCAACCCTACAATCCCCACACCTCACAACATGAAAAAAAGTGGGTCCCCTGAATGACTCCAGCATGGGTTGGACATGCACATGAGGGGGACAGGAAGGGTTGAAAAAGGGACAGTCACTGGTGTGCGAACGATCTCAGTCGTACAAAAATATACCTAAATAAAGACAGGTATATAAACACCGCATCCAGCGCCCGGCCAAAAGTCGCCAGACCGCAGAAACTCACCTGGCGAACGGTGGCACGAACTTGACACGATTCAACCGTGCCCAGAAGAACCTGGGAGCACCACCAGGTGAAGACGCCAGAGCCGGACCCTGCCGGACTTGCAGGAGAGCAGGGAGAGGCGAAGGAGGCGGCCCACACCCATGACAGGGAAAACCGCGGTGTCCTCCCCACAACTGGGAACCAGGACACCCCCGGAGCGAAGGGGCACATACCGCAGCCAGGGAGAAGAACGAGAGGCGAAGCACCTTAGCAAAAAGGGCGCAAAACACTGAAACACCGCCCAGACCAAAACAAACTCCACAGCGCATGCGCATAACATGCTGGCCGAACCGCACAACCCTCTGCGGGAAGGCTTCAACCAGGACTACTGCACTAGAAAAGTAGCCAAAAGAGGAAGCAGAAACAATAAAACCGGCCAAAGAAGCAAAGAGCCCAAAAAGGAACCCAACCGGGTGACAAGTAGCCCAACAGGGCGACAAGTAGCCCAACAGAGCTACAAGTAGCCCAACCGGCTCACAAGTAGCCCAAAACGGCGACAAGGACGAGGAGCCGACAGACGTTCCAATAATGCGGGAAGTAGCGAAAAACCTTCCCGAACCCTCGAGAACACAGAAGGCACACAAAGGCTCAGGCGCACTCGAGATCAGAAGTCACATAGAACCCCATTGAACGGGGAAACATGACGAAAACACCGTCCCAAAAAAGGGTGGGAGGAAACATCCACCCACAGGACGGAACCAACCGACTCAAAGGCCAAGGAACCGAGCTCGGGGAGGGGCCGACGCCCAACAGCACGTACGGCGAGTGGGGAGGAAAGACCCCACTCCGCGTAACCACAAGCCCCGCCTAGAGAGGGATAAAAAGTCAGCCCCTCCCCAGCCCCGGGAACCTACACGACAGGCCCCGGGGCCGAGCCGTTCCCCCAAAGCCCCGGCCATACCAGAAAATTGGGGCAGCCGTGCAAACACTAAGGAAGGGAGCCCACTGGCAGACTCATACAACACAACTGGAGGAACAGGCTCAAATGCCCCCGTCACTACCCCGGAAGGGGAATTCCCCGAGACTGCCCGAGTCTCAACACCATCAAAAACCCCGCCCCGAACCTACAGACGGTAAGGAACCGGATGTAGGCAGGAAGGGTGATCCAGGGGAAAGACAAGGGGGCGTGGATGGAACCGAAGCAACCAACACCCCCAAGTCCCAAAACGAACTACAACGGGGCAGCCCCGGGGCTCCTGGGGAGGAAACCACGAGAACGTTGCCACTACCAAGGCTCAAGTGCAACGCCCCTGCTGCCCGCACCCACTTTGTCAGCACAACTGGGTAACCGAGCCACAACGAGCAACCAAACTCGCAGGACTCCGGGTCGAAGGTGTCACCGACCCCACAGGCAGCAGACGGAGGCAAAACAGAGAGTCACCCAGAGACACAGGGTGAGAGCAACCCTCAAACTTGCTGGAAGCGAGGGGGGGGGGGGAGACTCTGGGGTCACATCCATCGGACCCGCGCGCCCCCAGGGGTTTCCCAGGGTCCCGAGCGTTTACTATAAGAGGACTCGCGCTCAGGTAATCCCAGGCAGGGTACTGCTAACCGGCACCCAAAGCTACCAAACAACTTTCTAAGAGCTGAACCCCCGGGACGTGTACACTCACGGGGACCTAGCAGGGGGTACCACCAGAAAATGCTCAGAACACAAGGGACACAAGGGGCAAGAACGAAGGCAGGCCCCCCACCAGGTAGATAAACAAAAAGAAAAAGAAAACCCCGCAAGAGGACAGCGTACCCAAGCGGAACAGAGCCGGCCGCTATGATTGGTAAAGACAAGCTGCACAGTACCCTGCGCCCCACTAGTGCAAAAACTGTCCCTTACTCTAAGGCGAACAAGGGAGACAGAACACCCGAGCACACAAAGAGCGGCCGAAAACCAAGCAGTAAACGGCCAAGCAGGGGCAGGACCCAAGGAACTTGTGGAAGGCAGCCCTAAGCCCCAAGGGCAGTACTTACAGAGCACCTAGGGAAGGGAACCCTAGGCGCATGCAGCCCGAGTACTGGAGAATCACTCCCGGCTCACGCACCACCTAGAAAACAGACACCACACTCTAGGTACAGCGCTGAAACAACCACTGGAGCCGGAGCACATAACCGGTGCCTATAGCATCAGCCGAAGAACTGATGGGTGGATAGCCGGCGTGGGAGGTCTGGGGCTCCCCCTTCCCCCTCCCGGGGAGGGGGGAGCTGCGCAGACAGCGGCGCAGTGACGTATGACGTCATACTAGTTTCCTTGTTTTCTGTTGAAGAGTTCTATCCACTAGTTCGGCTTTAGGTAGCAATTTTCACCAGAATAGGGGTTTGTTTTGGAATGCTTACCTTTCTGGATGCTTGACCCGGTCGATGGCAGACATAGAATGCTTCCTACCACACGGGGGTTTCTATAGGCCATTGCTCCCCCTTGCCTCTCTGAGGGGGCCAGGTTCTGGCCGTGGTCCCCGGTAGGCCCTAGAACTCCATACACATGACTGATGCCAAAGTCTGACATTAGCATATCAGCTGGTAAAGCTCTGGGGAGCCTACGGGGCTCCCCCCAGAAAGAGGTGATATGATCACTACATACAAAATAGTAACAGGAATTGATAAAATCGATAGGGAAGATTTCCTGAGACCTGGAACTTTAAGAACAAGAGATGCCAAAGATAAACACAGATGCCAAAGAAATATAAGAAAATTCACTTTCGCAAACAGAGTTATAGACGGTTGGAACAAGTTAGGTGTGAAGGTGGTGGAGGCCAAGACCGTCAGTAGTTTCAAAGCGTTGTATGACAAAGAGTGCTGGGAAGACGGAACACCACGAGCGTAGCTCTCATCCTGTAACTACACTTAGGTAATTACACACACACACACGATTCTAACAAATTTAAATTAAAAGTTAACATTTACAACATTACCTAAAATGCAGAGGTGCCACTCAAATTTCTTATCTGTTCATATGTCAACCAGAAGGTGAGAGACCAAGGCCCCATGCGTAGCCAGCATGGGATAAATCCCTTGTATAGTGCCCAAAAACCCTCATTATGGACAGTCTTCAACAAACAGTCCAAGGAATTTCTATACAGCAGACCCCTGTGAATAAATTGCATACATGTCACTGAATTTGTTATTTTGTATTTATTTCCTTTCAAGGTTTAAAATATAGCTTTCCTGCAAACACCACTTAATTAAATTATATTCACAAATTTGTTTCAGAAATTAAAAATAACTACAGTATTGCAAATGATGAAAGTTTACTCATTAAAACTATTTAAAGAAAACGTAAAAACATTTCACTTACTGAACACCTTCTCTAATATAACAACGCTCAGCAAAGCCCTATTTACAGCATGACATTAAAAGCATACACAAAATACTCTTTAGTTAAAAGACACCTACTGTACTTAGGGACCAACTAAGCCAACAAAAATAATAAATGCATGCTTAAATTTTTCCAAATGGATGGTTTCAGATGAAAAATTATGTGAATAATAAGACATACTAATTAGTTAATCTACTATTTGTCACATAAATACATTATTATATTCTACTAACTGCATATAAGAGTAAATACTACCACAAGCCTCTTGGGGTGTTAGTGCAAGCCAGCTAACCTGTTTCTAGATCCGTGAACTCTTTTTATATCACTGTTGGTGTACACACGCGCAATATGAAAGAAAAGGTAACAAAAATGAAAGACTACCATACCCGTGAAGGGTATGGGATGCCTGCATACCAAAAATAAAGTGTGTTACAATTAAGTATACAAAAAGAATTACCAAATGCTAAATACTGGACATCTAAAAAAGCTATACAATATATTAGGTTACAAGCAATTCTGCAGGGAATGTGCATAACAAACTCACCTGTGCTGGCAACAAAAATTCTTCAAGAACCACCTATTCTTCACATATGATTTGTATACATAAATTGTACAGAAGTCTAAAAAACTGCAAGGAAATATTGCAAATGCAGATGCTCTAAATAAAAGCCTAAGTTACCTGTCTCCTTGCATGATGCATTCCCAAAAGTCCTGTAGCCGAAATGCTTAACGTACTAAACAAGAGGTTTAGTACATATCCAACATTAGGAACAAGATACACAGGCTTCACATAGGTGTAACAATATGGCTCCCTTTATACAATGGCCATACTTGTCAGCTGCATTATTTCTTACTATCTGGTAGAGAAAATTTAAAGTTGCCATCTTAAAAGTCATCAAAATATGATATCATTAAATCTAAACATCTGCCACCGGTATTTACTATACATCAAATTCTTTGCGAATACCTACTACTCTTTTCTGGAAATTCCCATTTAACAAACATACTTATAATGCTTCTTATTATCAAGTTACCTAATATAATTTGGAAAATAAATTTCTTTATGAATTACCAGTGAAAGACTGGCATCCTTCCAAGTATGGTATCAGTTCAATACATGAAAATGGGTAGAAAATTTACCACTGTGAGGAAATAAATGTGCAGAGTCATTTAGCCCTATAAGCAACACTTAAAGTAAAAGGATTCCTTTTCTTTCTGTGATGTAAACAGAATACAGCCAATCAATAAATTGTTTTAATCATTAACTATATACTGTATATATATATATCATAAGAGTGCAATGTGCTTGGAACCCAATCACTATCTTCGACCAGGTAGTTTGATATAAATGTTATGAACAAAACTTTAAAATTAGATATGCTGCAGGACCGTTGGGGATGTACTGGCAAAGTTTTGACGTGTTTCCTCATTGTTGGAAAAGTGCATGTTACATGTTATTCTTATTGTTAGAACAGCCCATCCTCCAAAAATTACAGTACCGTACCTATAATGATTATGGGGGGCCATGCAAAAAATCAGCATTGAATGTAATGAAATGCCAATGTCTGGGTGAGCCCCTGGAGACTCCCAAAAAGCTATCATACACTAATCAGTACCATACTACTAGGTGCCATCAGTCGCAGAGTTCTATTGGCTTACCAGGGACCACGAGTCAGAACCTGGTCCCTTCAGATAGGCACAAGGAGCGATGGCCTATGAACACTACATTTAAAGTTAATCATCTTGCCGCCACCACCAAGGATGCATCCAGAAAGTCAGACGAACCAAAACTACTGCAAGGCTTAAAAACAAGATCGCAGTCTCCAAATTGCCATAAGATCTGCAAAAATTTAAACAAACCTCCCAAATAAATGAGATGCCTCCAAAGCCAAACCCTGCCCAATGGGTAAACCAAAAGGGCAAAGTCTGGGCATCCGCACAGCTGGTCGAGCAACAATGGAGTCACCCGGATCCCCCTCAACACCAACAGAGAGCGGACCTGCAGCCGGAGCCAGGCTGCTAAAGACAGGGAAAGTGACGCTGACCAAATATCCCATGTGAGACTCGACCAATTCCATATCTGGAATGGAGCCAACTGGGACTTCCACCAGTTCACCAGGAACTCAAACCCGGCAAACTCCGGTTTTGGTGAGAAATCAGTGAAATGTCTGGCTCGAGAGCAAGCCAGACCTGGGACAACATAGTCATCCAAAAGGAGGGACACGGAATGAACCAGTTCAATCGGGAAAGATCGAGAATGAAGCAGAGGTAAGAACAATCTCGTTTCCGAACCGGAAACAAGCAAGGAAACCCACCGAAGGGATGAGGTTGTTTTGACCATTCCCGAATGCACCCACCCCAAAATGACTCAACAAATGCAGGGAGAGGAGACCTGCTTCAAAAGCCCTGAATCCTCTGGAGGAGGCAGGACTGACCAACTCTGCCACAGGCTGCAAGACATGACAATTGGTCCTGTAATTGCATAACAAAGAGCTGGCAAGCCGAGCTAGCCTCCTCCCCCCATGTGAAAGAGCTGTTGCAAAACTTAAGAGCCAACCTTCTAAGCAGAGCAAACACAGAGTAAACCATAACAAATGCAGTGTTACCACAGGATTTATGTTATGAGGCAAGAGAGAGAAGGAAAAGGCGGTGGTGGTGTAGCTCTGCTGGTAAGAAAGGGCTGGGACTTTGAGGAGATGGTTATTCAGGGATGTGAGGGTTTCAGTGACTACATAGCAGGTACCACATCAACTGGAGGACAAAAAATTATAGTCGTAGTCATATATAATCCACCACCGAATGACAGAAGACCCAGACAGGAATATGATAGAAACAGCATGGCCACCATTAACATAATAGAGAGAGCAGTTTCTGTTGCCAGCAGGAATGGATCTGAACTGCTAATCATGGGAGACTTCAACCACGGGAAAATAGACTGGGAGTACAGAGATCCGCATGGAGGCCCAGAAACATGGAGAGCTAAGCTGCTGGACGTGGCAACAAGACACTTTCTAAGCCAGCACATCAAGGAACCAACAAGAATGAGAGAAGATGAACCAGCCATATTCGATCTGATATTTACCCTAAATGAGTGGGATATAAGGGAAGTTAAGATGGAAGCACCCTTGGGAATGAGTGACCACAGTGTATTAAACTTTCAGTACCTGGTAGAGCTAGGAATTATCTCCCCCAAAAAAAGAACTAGGAAACAAAAGTCTGGCATACCGAAAGGGGAACTATGGGAGATGAGGCGTTTCCTGAGGGAAATACCTTGGGACACAAACCTCAGAGATAAGTCTGTACAAGATATGATGGACTATGTCACCCCAAAAGTGTCAGGAGGCAGTAAACAGGTTCATTCCGTCCCAAAGGGAAAAATCCGAGAAGCAACAGAAGAATCCATGGTATAACAGGGCCTGTATGGAAGCAAAGGGACTGAACAAAAGGGCATGGCAGAACTTCCGGAATAACAGAACATCAGAAAGCAGAGAGAGATACCTGAGAACTAGGAATGAGTATGTTAGGGTGAGAAGAGAAGCAGAGAAAAATTATGAAAATGATATAGCAAACAAAGCCAAGACCGAACCAAAGCTGCTCCATAGTCACATCAGGAGGGAAAACGACAGTGAAAGAACAGGTAATGAAACTTAGAACAGGCAAGGACAGGTATACAGAGAATGACAAAGAGGTGTGTGAAGAACTCAACAAGAGGTTCCAGGAAGTTTTCACAATAGAACAAGGTGAGGTCACTGTGCTAGGAGAAAGGGAAATAAACCAGGCGACCTTGGAAGGGTTTGAAATTATGAGTGAGGAGGTCAAGAGACACCTGCTGGATCTGGACATTAGAAAGGCTGTTGGTCCAGATGGGATCTCACCATGGGTACGGAAAGAGTGTGCAGAGGCACTTTGCTTGCCACTCTCCATAGTGTATAGTAGGTCACTGGAGACGGGAGACCTACCAGAAATATGGAAGACAGCAAATGTGGTCCCAATATATAAAAAGGGCGACAGGCAAGAGGCACTGAATTACAGGCCAGTGTCCTTGGCTTGTATACCATGCAAGGTGATGGAGAAGATCGTGAGAAAAAACCTAGTAACACATCTGGAGAGAAGGGACTTCGTGACAAATTGCCAACATGGATTCAGGGAGGGTAAATCTTGCCTGACTGGCTTAATAGAATTCTACGACCAGGTGACAAAGATTAAGCAAGAAAGAGAAGGCTGGGCGGACTGCATTTTCTTGGATTGTCAGAAAGCCTTTGACACAGTACCGCATAAGAGACTTGTACATAAGCTGGAGAGACAGGCAGGTGTAGCTGGTAAGGTGCTCCAGTGGATAATGGAGTATCTAAGCAATAGGAAGCAGAGAGTTACTGTGAGGGGTGAGACCTCAGATTGGTGTGAAGTCACCAGTGGAGTCCCACAGGGCTCTGTACTCGATCCGATCTTGTTTCTGATATATGTAAATGATCTCCCAGAGGGTATAGATTCATTTCTCTCAATGTTTGCTGACGATGCCAAAATTATGAGAAGGATTAAGACAGAGGAGGACTGTTTGAGGCTTCAAGAAGACCTAGACAAGCTGAAGGAATGGTCAAACAAATGGTTGTTAGAGTTTAATCCAAGCAAATGTAATATAATGAAGATAGGCATAGGGAGTAGGAGGCCAGATACTAGGCATCATCTGGGAGATGAAATTCTTCAGGAGTGAGAGAGAGAAAAAGACTTGGGGGGTGACATCACGCCAGACCTGTCCCCTGCAGCCCATATCAAGAGGATAACAGCAGCGGCATATGCCAGGCTGGCCAACATAAGAACGGCATTCAGAAACTTGTGAACTTGTGTAAAGAATCATTCAGAACTTTGTATACCACATATGTCAGGCCAATCCTGGAGTATGCAGCCCAAGTCCATATCTAGTCAAGGATAAGACCAAACTGGAAAAGGTTCCAAGGTTTGCCACCAGACTAGTACCCGAGCTGAGAGGTATGAGCTACAAGGAGAGGCTACGGAAATTAAACCTCACTTCGCTGGAAGACAGAAGAGTTAGGGGGGACATGATCACCACATTCAAGATTCTCAAGGGAATTGATAGGGTAGATAAAGACAGGCTATTTAACACAAGAGGCACATGCACTAGGGGACACAAGTGGAAACTGAGTGCCCAAATGAGCCACAGAGATATTAGCAGTCTCCGTGGTGTAGTGGTAAGACACTCGCCTGGCGTTCCGCGAGCGCTATGTCATGGGTTCGTATCCTGGCCGGGGAGGATTTACTGGGCGCAATTCCTTAACTGTAGCCTCTGTTTAACGCAACAGTAAAATGTGTACTTGGATGAAAAAACGATTCTTCGCGGCAGGGGATCGTATTCCAGGGACCATAGGATTAAGGACTTGCCCGAAACGCTACGCGTACTAGTGGCTGTACAAGAATGTAACAACTCTTGTATATATCTCAAAAAAAAAAAAAAACTTTTTTAGTGTCCAAGTGGTTGACAAATGGAATGCATTAGGAAAAGATGTGGTGGAGGCTGACTCTTTACACAGTTACAAGTGTAGATATGATAGAGCCCAATAGGTTCAGGAACCTATACACCTGTTGATTGACGGTTGAGAGGCGGAACCAAAGAGCCAGAGCTCAACCCCTGCAAGCACAAATAGGCGAGTACAGCACTGACCCGACGAAGAGGACGAGGCTGAAGGAAGAGTATATGATCTAGCTGCTGGCACCACAGAGGACCCACACCTTGTCCATCAGCAGGTGAAGCCCTGGCTCTACCACACCACCGGGAAAGTTGAGGCCCCCTCCCCCCCCAACAAATCTAAACTTAACAGCAACCAGCTGCAGCTGCAGACAAAAACTGAGTCACATTGTCCCCAAGTAAAAGAAAGGAACTAAACTGCAAAACAAAAGTAAGAGCCAGGACTTATACCAAATCCAGAGACCAGCACAGCTTGACGACACACAAGACGAGATGCAAAAAACACGGCAACTGCTTCCTGGAGAATTGGAGCGTACAGCTTCAGGGTGGCAGTTGAAGCCGAAGCCGCAGAGACCAAAACTCCGCAAGAGGAACCTCACCGAGTACCTCAAAATCCTCAGAGCGCCAATTGTAATGAAACTCCAGGAGATTTAAGACATACACAACAGAAGCAAAGTGCAAACAGGTATGCATGTCATTAGTGACCAAAGCAGCCGACAAAAAGGGAACCTGAGCATGCAGCCACACAAGACCCATGTCATGGGAAAGAGCAGGAGCGAAGAGGCATGCATTGAGAGGCTTAAGAGAAACCCCCAGAAACACCAGCAACAACTCCCACCAATCAAGCGTGCAGATATAACAAAAACCTGCACCAAGCCCCCAGACAAAACAAAGGACAGTTTGCCAGCCAGGATAACTCCAGAACCTTGTAACGCACCCAATAATGAGGAAGACCCGAACTCAAAGTAGGCTGGATCCATAATGGGGGTATAAACCAGGTCATGCAGGAGGTAAGCACCAAGGGCCTCTCGAGCCTCTGCTGAGGGAACACAGGATGAAGGATACCTCAGGAAGGATGAATCCGAAGAACCCAAAGGAACACAGAAATGAACCCCTGGGAAAAGCCGCACACAAATAAAACTCATAATGAGAAAAGGTTAAAAGAAACCCCCTCACCCTGCAACAAAAGACTCTTCTCAGAAGGCATGAGGGCCCACAAAGGGTCAAACAGAACCCAAAAGATCCAATCCGACCCTCCCCCTCCCCGAGCCCCAGGAAAGGCTCCCCAGAGCAATGCTCTCATCCATGCCCACCGCCCAGGAAAGAAAGGCAGAGTCCAAGGTTAAAGCTGCAAATGAATGGGTCGGCTGGGAAGACCCAGAATAACACTAAAATATTAGTGCTTGCTAGGGTGAAATATTGTTGCACAATATTCAAAGCTGGAAAAACTGTTGACCTAACGAATGTGAATGGAACTTTTCCTATTAAAATCTTTTCAATGAAACATTTAAATTATTGGGACTGCTAAAAACATTTTTATCTGTATTCCCTAGAGTGCCAGTGGGAGAGATGCATAATAATTAACACTTGGAAAGTGTTAGAGGGACTGGTTCCAAATCTGCACACCACCACAAGAGACCAGAAGGCATCGCAGGAAGTGCAAAATAGCCCCCTTAAAAAAACAGCGTTGAATGTAATGAAATGCCAATTTCTGGGTGAGCCCCGGAGACTTCCCTGAAGCTGTCTTACTGATCAAGTGCCTTACTTGAGTGTCATCAGTCATAGAATTCTTTGTAAACCTACCGGGGACAACGAGCCAGACCCTGACTCCCACTCAGAGAAGGGAAGGGAGCAATGCCCATGAACACTTTACATGTAAGATAGGTCATCTTGCCAACAACCAGGGAAGGACCCAGAAAGATAGATGAATCAAAACAGACCACTGTCTGGTTGAAAACTGCAAGCTATGTCCTCACAAACACAAAAAACTTCCCCCAGAAAGCATACAAACAAGAAAAATTTTGTTCGACTAATTCCCCAACTCGTTAGCTCAAATCACCCCCCCCCCTTTCCACACAGGGGGGAGAGGGAACCAGCCTGGGTAAGTCAGGCTGCCAACCTACAGTTCTTTGAATGATGAAAACTGCCAACCAGTGGGAGGATGTCAGGGGGCCTAAAGGACTCACCCAGAAACTCATTACATTTAACGCTGCTTTTCTGTGAGGAGATCCGTCGGCTCCCTGAAGTTAGAAAGCCCTGAAAACTACCCACAGAAAAGATAAACAGGGAAGAACCCAGGAGGAGACAGTCCTGCCCAACCCGATAAAGACAGTCATTTGCACCAGAAGCCCCAAAGCAACAAAAAGTAGCAGAGGGCCCAGTGACAAGCACGAGAGACCAGGACTGTGACCGACCCCCAAAACCCCCAAGCCCGAAAACCATCTAATGACAGCCAAATAAGTGGCATACAACCGAGCATCATAATCACAAGGATAGTCTACAAGTCGGCTAGACTTAATTAAAGACACCGCAGACAACCTGAGACACACGAGCCCTGGAATTGAGAACTAGGGAAACATGAGCAACCCAGAGCGTGGCCACCGACATAGAATTGGTGGCCCTCAGGAAGCAGCATAAAGTCACCTCCGGACACAGCACATGATGCACTCCTGGCCTAACCAACCAAGCAACCACAACCAACAGATCCCTCTGGAAGCCCGCCAGCTCATTCTGCGCCGGAAAAGAAGGGGCAGGCTGCCAACAAACATAATGACCACCAGAGGTCAATGCCAACAAAACAATGTCTACCAAAACAAACACGGACTGAAGGGACCAGTCTAAATGGAGGCGAAGAAGAAAGAAAATAACCCATTCCCAAAGACGAAGAAGGCTTAGGCAGCGCATGAGCAGGCTGGAGGTGAAAAATGCACAAGAAAACTCACTGAACGAAGCAGAAGTGACAACCCGAACACAAGCTGCTGTGGCTTCTCCAACGCCGCACAATACGAAGCAACAGTACAGTACACAGCATGAGATGCTGATCTAGGAAAAGCCAAGAGAGAAAGGACAAAACAAACCCCCCACCCCCAGCGAAGGGGGGGGGGAGGAGGGAGGAACTAGCCATGGGCTAGTTTCATTAAGTTTTGTTGTTTCTTTGGTTGGGAGTGGAGGGGGAGTTCTTTTGCCCTTTTGGGGGCATTGGTCTCATTTTTAAACCAGGCAGTGGTTTGTTTTGATTTGCCTATCTTTCTGGGTGCCTTTCCTGGTGATGGCAGAGATGATATCCATTAAACGTAAAGTGACCATAGGCCATTGCTCCCTGTGCCTCTCTGAGGGGGCCAGGTTCTGGCTTATGGTTCCAAGTAGGCATAAAGAGCTCTGCAACTGATGATGCTTGGTAATATGGCATTTAATCAGTGATAATCACTCTGGGAAGCCTCTGGGGCTCACCCAAAATCTGGTGTTTCATTACAATCAATGCTGGTTTTTTGGATAATATAGTAATTAACTAGACTCAATTTAATAAAACAGTTAAAACCTTGTCTAATTTTATACAGAATCTGTAGTTCTACAATACAGTAATTTAAACTAAGTAATCAAACACTTTAAATACTTTACCCAAAAATCATTTGCTAATATAAGTTGATTTTTAAGTTTTCTAAACCTCCCATTACTTGACCAAAACAGTAGAAATATGTATATCTTTGTAATAAGTTTATGTTAGGAATGTAAGTGTGAAGCATGAATGAGCATTTAAGAACAATTGCTAAGTTAAGAATATTGATCACTGTTTCACACAAAATCTTACTAACAAAATTAGTGCCAACAGCACCTAAATGCTCCTATGTTAAACTTACCTGCTCTTGTTATCAGTAGGCTGGTTCATAACTCTGGCCTTTACTACGTCAGCAGGGCAGCCCATAACGGCCGACACCAGCCCTGAACATGCGCTGTAAGATGAATAACACTAATACATATACTTCCTGCTTGTAGTGTGTGCTCCTTGTCTTTATGCCGACTCATTTGACTCCCAATGGAATGCACCAGGGTTAAGTTAGCACAGTTGACTGGCTTTCCAAAAGTGAAGATATATGCATACCTGATGCATTCACTGTTGGAATTCAAGTCAAGTCCAAAACTGCATGAGAAACTAGGTGGAATGGGAAAAGCAAGCAGATCACATTTCTCTCAATGATAAAATCACAATCACAATGGCCTGTTCTGTGTCATGAGAAAAGCCTCCTGGATACATCTTAAAAATATAATAGATACAAAAGCTCTTATGTTAAACAAATTTGTTTATCTCCCAGTTACTCCTCTGAAGAATAATCTACACCGAGGAGCACTCTCAGACCTTTCGCTCAAATCAATAACAGAATAGGGGACAAGGCTCCCAAAACAGACCAGTAATGTTCTCTATTATACCTGGAGCATTACTGGAGAGGGCTCCAGGAGTTGTTCTACTTCCCGAGCCTAACTTGAGGCCAGGCTTGGCTTGTGATAACTCTATTATGCACTCTGCTAAAATATACACATATATATATATGGAAGTAAAGAAGAGAACTTATTGATTTCATGACTCACAAATAAGGATCCTGTGTTCGATTCCCGGGAGAGACAAATGGTTGGCATGTTTCTATTCACCTAATGCCTATGTTCACCTAACAGCAAATAGGTAACCAGGAGTTAGACAACTGTTATGGAGTAGCATCCTGGGGGAGGGGGGGGGATTGTCAATAATTTGACCTTGGAGGGACCTCAATTAATGCCTAAAGTACGTATTGTATATACACAGGCATCATGTCCCCAGTAAAATGAATTATAATAAATCACATCCTATCAATGTGGAGTATAGATATTGGCAAGAGTCTTCATGTGCTTTTTTTTTATAACTTTTAAATTAAGACAAATTAATGAACAGTAACTGGAAAGACATTATCCAAATTGATCTGCAGTGAAAATTCTTCAATATTTTAAGCTAAGGAATAATGGATAACATTGTGTGTGTGTTCTGCATACCTACAAAACACAAACTGTACTTTCTTTCATTATGGAATTATCCACATTAACCTAAGACACTTATTTTCTTGAAGGAAAGAGATTTTTATCATTATTCCATGGAAGACTTTGAAGAATTTATTTTAATTCTGAAGAGCATTGGTAATACTCATGAAATCTAGCAAAAGTATTCAAGTTCTCTTCACTTGGTTTTGTAGTTGACGCATATTGTGCAAGTTGGAAAATGCAAGTTAAGCCAAACATTTCTACAGATGCTATACCTACAAGATTACATCTCAAATAGTCCACAACTAATAAGGAAATCATTGCCTGATATTAGTGCACTTAAAAGTTATTGCAAGTCAAGGACAACTCCAGTCTTGCCTGGGATATCAGAGCACATGCAGTGTTCTTGCCACATAAGGAGCATCTCTAATAAAACAGTTTCACAATTTTATTTGGAAAACAGAACTCAATGATTTCTTAAGGCATCAAACCAAATGAGGCGTATTTTTACCACAGTCCTAATATGCTTTAAATTTGAAGTAATTGTTAAGGCCAACAGAAGAGTGCATTATATCATACCGGGGACCACAAGCCAAAACCTGGACCCCCCCCTCAGAAAGGCACGAGGAGCAATGGGCTATAGAAACCTCCGTGTGGTTGGAGGCATTCTATGTCTGCCATCGACCGGGTCAGGCACCCAAAATGATAGGTGCCCCAAAACAAACCCAATCTGGTTAAAATATTGCTATTGAAACCTGAACTGTATGACAGAACTCTCCCAAACAAAAAATGAGATGACATCACAACCGCTCACCGCGCCGCTGTCTGCGCAGTTCCCCCCTCCCTGGGAAGGGGAAGGGGGAGCCCCAGACCACCCCTCCCCCCTGCGCCAGCTATCTACGCCCCTAGTTCTGAGGTTGGATATCAAAACACGCAAAAACTGTCGACTGGAGGGAGGGAGGGTTGCCGGGAAGCCTCCAGGTCTCGCCCAGAAAATGGCGTTTCATTACATTCAATGGTGTTTTTTTTGGGGAAGCCCCTTCGGTTCCCCGGAGCTACTTAACTCATGATAAAACAAAAAGGGACTTACCCAGGAGGTGGTCGCAACTCGCTCCTCAACTCAAAGTCGAGACAACTGGCTGCAACCGCCGACCTAATGCAACACATGCCCGACTAGGGCCAGGAACACTGACTAGGTAGCAAGCAGCCAAGACCCTGTTTGACCTCCAAAAACTCCGTGCCCGAATGTCAGCCCAAGACATGTTACCAAAGAGGGCAGCTAAAGCAACAACTTACAAATGTCATGGACACGAGGAAAGACCGCACGCTGGCTGGACAGAATAACCCTGCGGACGACCTAAGAGACATGAACCTTGGAACAGGGAAGAAGGAAAACTTCATAATCCAAAGCGCATTCCCGACCACTGAGGCCATGGTGTGCAGGTAACGGCAAAGAGTCGCAACGGGATACAACACATGATGCACCCCGGCTGGACCAAGCATCAACAACCAAAGGACCTATCCAGAAAGCAGCAGTCTCGTTCTTTGCCAGAGAAGAAGGAAACCCAAGTTTGTTTGCAAACGAACAAACCTACCACCAGGGCTAAAAGAACAGAAACCTCTGCACCGGAGAGGAGCATGAAGCTCCCCAACCCGACCCCCAGAGGCCAATGCCAACAGGAAAAAGAGCCTTCGCAAAACAATCTTGAACGGATTGGGCCACAACAAACCGAGGAGAAGACAGAAAGTAGAGCACCCTCACACAGAAGCACCGGCTGGAGGAATGGGCTCGAATGCCTCTGATGCCACATTGGATGGGGCATTTCCCGAAACTGCCCGAGTCTCACTGCCAACTAAACCCTGGCCCGACTCAGATGCTTCAGAGCTGGAAGCAGGGGAGGGAGTAACAGGCAGGAAAAATAAAAACAAAAGAAAAACCCCGCAAGAGCACATCGACCCATACGGAACAGAGCCGGCCACTGTATGGTGCAAACAAGTTGCACAGAACCTTGTACCTCCACAGTACCAGTGACAAAATGACCTCCTACTCAAAGACAAACAATGGTGCATGAAACACCCTAGCAGACCCTAAGGGCGGGCAATCAGTCACTCCCCCAGTGACTTGTGGAAGATAACCCCAAGCCACAAGGGCAGTACTTACAGGGCACCTAGGGAAGGTAACCCTAGGTGTATGCAGCCCGAGTACAGGTGAAACTACTCCTGGTTCACACACCATCACTTGGACAGGACCACACCACAAGGCACAGTACTGGAAAAGATGTGGAGTCAGAGTCGCACGACCACCAGGTCTCACATCAGCCACAAAACTGGGGTGTAGATAGCCGACACGGGGGAGCTGCACAGACAGCGACACGGTGACGGTTGTGACTTCATGCTTATTTGCTCATTTTTCATTTGCTGGAGTTCTGTCGAACAGTGCAAGTTTCAGTAACAATATTTTAATCAGATAGGGTTTGTTTTGGGGTACACCTACCTTTCTGGGTGCTTGACCTGGTTGATAACAGACATAGAATGCTTCCAGCCACATGGGGGGGTTTCTATTGGCCATTGCTCTTCGTGCCTCTCTGAAGGGGCCAGGTTCTGGCTTGTGGTCCTCGGAAGGCCTAAGAAGTTCATTCGCTTGACTGATGCCCAGAGTTTAATACTGTACATTCATATCAGCCCAGATAGTATATGTTCTCTGTATTCCCTCTAAATCAGCGATCTCTCCTGCTCTGAAGTGGGAAGTGAGTACTAAGCAAATAAATAGTATTAGCAGTGCTCGGTTACGTTCACTAAATATCAGGTCATCAAACATCATAATCCTCAGATCTTTTACATGTTGCTTTCCTACTACGAGTAGGTCTGATTGTGTCCTGTACCTTGTGTTTCATTTAAGTTCCTTGTTTCCACCATATCTAAGTACCTGGAACTTATCACCATTAACATCATGTTATTTTCAGTTGCTCAATCGAAGACTTTTCTGGAGGGAGTTCCGTCGGCTCCCCGGAGCTATCCCAGGCTGATATGCTAATGTCAGACTTTGGCATCAGTCATGTGTATGGAGTTCTTAGGCCTACCAGGGACTACGGCCCAGAACCGGGCCCCCTCAGAGAGGCAAGGTAAGCAATGGCCTATAGAAACCCCCATGTGGTTGGAAGCATTCTATGTCTGCCATCGACCGGATCAGGCACACAGAAAGATAAGTGCCCCAAAACAAACCCCCTATTCTGGTTAAAATTGCTACCAAAAGCCGAACTAATGGATAGAACTCCCCAACAGAAAACAAGCAAACTAGTGTGACGTCACACGTCGCCGTGCCGCTGTCTGCACAGCTCCCTCCTTCCCGGGAGGGGGAAGAGGGAGCCCCAGATCCTTCACGCCGGCTACCCACACCTCAGTTCTTGAGACTGATGCTATAGGCAAAGGTCGTGTGCTCTGGCTCCAGTGTCACTACAGCACTGTGCTTCATGTGTGGTGTTTGTTTTCAGTGGGTGCGAGAGCCAGGAGTTATCTTCAGTACTCTGGCTGCATGCGCCTAGGGCTGCCTTCCCTAGGTGCCCTGTAAATACTGCCCTTGTGGCTTGGGGCCACCTTCCACAGGCTCCTCGGGACCTGCCTCTGCTGGTCCGTTCTACTGTTCGGTTTTCGGCCGCCTGTTGGGCTCTTGGGTGTTCTGTTCACCCTTGTTACCTGCAAGTAAGAGGCAGTTTGCACTGGTAGGGGCGGAGGGTGCTGCGCAGCTTTGTATTCCCGACATAACGGCCGGCTCTGTTCCTTGGGGTTCGCTGTCCTCTTGAGGGGTTTTGTTTTTGTTTTTGCCTTGTGGGGGGTTCTGCCCTATGATTCCACTGGTGTTTGCCCTTCCACGGTTCTCCTCGGTGGTGCCCCCTGCTAGGTCCCCGTGAGCCTGGGGTTCAGCTAGTGAGGTTTGCTTGGTTGTTTT